ACAGACATGCAGGGAGAGACGGGCAAAACGGAGAGACAGACAGACAGACATGCAGGGAGAGACGGACAAAACGGAGAGACAGACAGACATGCAGGGAGAGACGGGCAAAACGGAGAGACAGACAGACAGACATGCAGGGAGAGACGGGCAAAACGGAGAGACAGACAGACAGACATGCAGGGAGAGACGGGCAAAACGGAGAGACAGACAGACAAACATGCAGGGAGAGAGACGGGCAAAACGGAGAGACAGGCATGCAGAGAGAGAGAGACTGGCAAAACGGAGAGACAGACATGCAGAGAGAGAGAGAGGCAAAACGGAGAGACAGACATGCAGAGAGAGAGACTGGCAAAACGGAGAGACAGACATGCAGAGAGAGAGAGAGAGAGCAAAAACGAGAGAGACAAAACGGAGAGACAGACATGCAGAGAGAGAGAGAGAGAGACTGGCAAAACGGATAGACAGACATGCAGAGAGAGAGAGAGAGAGACTGGCAAAACGGATAGACAGACATGCAGAGAGAGAGAGAGAGAGACTGGCAAAACGGAGAGACAGACATGCAGAGAGAGAGAGAGAGACTGGCAAAACGGAGAGACAGACATGCAGAGAGAGAGAGAGACTGGCAAAACGGATAGACAGACATGCAGAGAGAGAGAGAGACTGGCAAAACGGAGAGACAGACATGCAGAGAGAGAGAGAGAGAGAGACTGGCAAAACGGAGAGACAGACATGCAGAGAGAGAGAGAGAGAGAGACTGGCAAAACGGAGAGACAGACATGCAGAGAGAGAGAGAGAGAGAGACTGGCAAAACGGAGAGACAGACATGCAGCAGAGAGAGAGAGAGAGACTGGCAAAACGGAGACAGACACAGACATGAGAGAGAGAGAGAGCAAAACGGAGAGACAGGCAAAAGAGAGAGAGAGACTGGCGGAGAGAAACATGCAGAGAGAGACAGAGATGAGAGAGCAAAAACGGAGAGACAGACATGCAGAGAGAGAGAGAGACTGGCAAAACGGAGAGACAGACATGCAGAGAGAGAGAGACTGGCAAAACGGCCAGACAGACAGACAGACATGCAGAGAGAGACGGCCAGACAGACAGACAGACATGCAGAGAGAGACGGCCAGACAGACAGACAGACATGCAGAGAGAGACAGACAGACAGACATCCAGGGGGGGGGGAGACGGGAAAACTGAGAGATAGACAGACATGCAGGGGGGGGGAGACGGGAAAACTGAGAGATAGACAGAAACACAGAGAGAGACTCAGATAAACACGCACAGAGAAAGAGATAGAAAGAGAGAGAGAGCAACATACGGTTGTTGTAACTGTACAAAATTATTTTGGCATCCTCAATACTGTCATATAGGATTTAAATAAGCCTCCATTTTTAGCAGTCTAAAATATTTCTTCAACAATCAATTTGTATGGCGTGTCCGTCCCGTCGATGCTAGAGAAACAATTAAAATTACATTTTTGTTAACACTGATCTTCATTTGATAAATGTTTGTAAATTGAGGACATTTTATTCACCACCAGATGATTGATTGTATGTTCATGAAAATCAGACGTCTCTCCAATAAAACTAACTTTTTAGCAACACATTCAAATTTATATACGACACGTGCTATATAATCGATCCGTATTTCATATTTATTTTCAAAAAACCAATTTGAAAAAATAAATTTAAAGTCTCGCGTGAGTAAATCAAATAAAATAAAAGTAACAATTTAACAAAATAAGTACTTAACAAAATAATTTTATATATGGCGTTATTTTTGACGGCACGGGTAATCTTGTCTTAATATGATGATTTATGTTCGAGACTAAACAAACATCTATCATCAGATAGTTGAACAATAGACTGTGATCACAATCATTATTTGATCTTTTTCTAGATTTATTCAACATCTGAGCTCAAAGCCGCTCTATAGCGCCATTCAAACCGTGTTAAAGTCTGTTATCATTTGGAATTGCTTTGAGCTTTGATTCAAACGCTTTGCGTTCCCTGTAAAAGCGTATCAGTTTTTAGGATCAGATTTCACTGAAAGTATATCTAAAGGCGAAGGATTTGTCGCATCTCTGATCAAATATAGATATTTGTATCTTTGATGCTTGTTCGCAACTTCATGTTTCCTCTTCTTTGGAGACAAAGCGTCTCGGCAAAGATTCAATTTGGAATCAGATGACTCGTATGGTATGGTTATTAGCATTTTGATCAACTAAATTTCTTTTTGTGTTCATTCTTCATTTTTTTTCTCTCGGTTACGTATATATAATCTCTGTCGCTCTGCCAGTAATCACGACCTAATTTTATTCCCCATTGTGTAAAATTTGGTTTAGTCTATTAAAAGATAACTAAGATTTACCCGTGAAAATTATTCTGTTTTCTATTTGAATTTTCTGAGCAATCAACATTCTTAATGTAAGGATTGAGTAAGCTCATTGTAAATTCCACAATTATAAAATACCTCTGGAAATTCTCCTGATGCATCTCTAAATCCTTTAGCTTAAAAACTTGAAAAAAATATTGCAGTCATAAGTATAGATGCGGGTCATTGTTTAAAGAAGTAAGTGTTGGGATCCGTCTACTCAGGTTTTTGTTGTTATCGGGATTCCAAACATTTAACAACAGCAACATATCTTTTAAATGGAACGAAAAGGTTATTCTCTAAAGGAAAAGTATAATCAGAACGCCAGTTGAAATAACATTTATACATACTTTTCAGAAATATACACTGACAAAATATTCAATTTTCTTTGCAGTGAAGTTTGTTTCGTCAAGTAATTAAGTGTTCGTAGTGTAAAGTGAGATGTGTGAACAGACTTACTTTATGACAGTCAGACTAATGATTCTATCAGTGTGTGGACAAGACCTAAGTGGCGGCGGCTGCTGGCTCATACGCCCCATTGTGTGGATGTTTGTGTGTATGCACGTGTAGATCAAACAGGCCTCCGAAATTGTTTTGAACCCCGAGAAGCAGTATGCTTCTAGTTTTATAAATGTAAACGCGATCCAAAATCTAATTTTGCATGGAGGTGTGAACTTTTTGAGTACAAGGTTTTCATTAGTTAGAAAATGATTGAAAATAATTTCACACTGGCTCACGAAAATCTTTTCTCTTTTTTTGTGTGGGAGTGGTGAAGGGGGTTATTATTGTTATTTTCTAAATGGCCAAAAAATAACACGTAGTAGATCTACATGTACACCCGCAAGTATTTTAGCTGTATTTGTCCTCGTAATTATTGTTTATCAAACAAACCTTCTGATGTAATTTTATTGGTTGAAAAATATAATTTCTATAAGGATACGGGTAAAAAAGATTCTAAATTTACAATGTTTTCCATTTCACGAGATGTTAAAGCCTTCACTACCTTCACCTTTTTCTTCATATTATTATATACAAGGTTTTCCATTTTACTGAAGACGGAATCTTTACGAATACTTCCATTTTTCATTTCTTTCTTTCTAGAAACTCATATCGAACTCTAACGAACTCTAGAATGAGGCAGTAGATGAAACATATGCTATACTAATTTGTGGGCTGGGGATAGGCAAGTTAAATTTGTGAGCTGGGGAAGGCAAGTTATTACAGGGCGTAACGTACGTGCTAAATCACTAAGGAAGGAAAGAACATTCAGAATTCAGGATATATTTCTTAAACAGTAGATTTTTCCGGAACATGGAAATGATTACACACCATCAATCTTTATTTAATACCATATTTCTTGAAGAAATAAGCGATTATGGCTCTCCATAAATCCTGTGAATTGCCAGTTCTTTGGTAAGAGAGTCGAGTGTCTTCCCATAGCTTTTTTCCACAGTTTTCAAAAATAATTCTTCTTCCAGACTAGATCACCACGCAGAGTTTAGATAGATCAGTCTTCTCTTTTAATACAATGAACCTTCAGGACGTAGATGATCATGACTCTTCATAACTTCCTTTTCTTTATTATTTGTGAATTGCCACGTATTCTTCGAAAAGACAGTGGAATGGTTCCCATTGCCTTCTTCTTTCTCTTAGACTAGTTGCCACTCAAGTCTAGAGAAACCAGTCTACCCAGATATTTAACTCGTTAAGCTAAGTGGAGAAGAGACGAGCTCATACATTTCAAGAGGGCATCAGTGCGAAAGTGAATGCAATAGATTAGGCCCTGATTTTCCGGCCTGATATTTATTATTTTACCTGCATGAACTTATTTTGTTAAACATTCAGTTTTTAGGGCCGTACAATCATGTTCTTTTGTCACCCGTTTGGAGCCTGAAGAAAGAAAACTCAAATGATAGTTAGGGATTTGATGAAATATGGGAAGTTTATTTACGAAAACTCAAGTTTCACATCATGATAATCCAATGTGTACGTGAAAATATTGATTCCCAATGAGAATTTAAGCTGTATTCACTTTTCGGGTTCCATCGATTTAATTTTTGTTATGGCTTATAAACCCTTTTTGTGGGTTATTGGAAAGCGAAACCTAATTTTTTGATTGTAAGAAATTGTTTTTGATTGAATATTGCATTGAACAGTTTCGTTTTCGAAAAAAACAATTTTTTTCATGACAAATCTTAATATTTAAACCAAAGGTAGGATTGGGGTGGGGAGATGGGTTCATTCATTTCCCAAGCGTAAGAAACTGGAATTCGAACTCGACTCTACGATTTTGCATTCTGAGCCACTATCCATTGCACTGTCCGGATATTCTTTTGGTTTGAAATCATTGGATATTTTATCCTTTCATATCTTATCAAGGAACCAAGCTTTCTTTCTTTCATTTTTTTATTCGCAAATAAATTTACAAGCCCAAGTTTCAGTTAACTAATTTTCTTTCATTTTTTTTTTTTTTTTTTTTTTTTTTTTTTTGGCTGAGCGTGTCTTTCTTGATAACATAGTCTGATCTCATTTGCTCCAAGTCCGGGATGGGATCAACCTACTGGCTCATTATTTTATTCTCTATTAACTCGGTGGAATCGGTTGAGAGGCTATAAAAATTTCTCGATATGATGGAACAGGAACTGTCATATCGACCATTGATAGGTTAGAAGTGAATTTGGGAATGGTCGGCAAACGTGGATTTTACCACGAAAAGGTTTATTCTGAAGTTAAAAAAAGAGAACCGTGAATTGGGATCCCATTCATAAATTTGATGAAAAACGTACAGAAATCAATTGATCAATTGTTTATGGGGTTTGGTCTGTAATGGATATTGGAAATCGAGGGACTGGGAATCTTCAATTGAGATTTGATCCCGGAGGGAAACCAATTCTCTTTTCAACTTGGCATCGTGTTCGACTTTCTGTGTGTCTTTTTGTACTTTTTTTTACCTTGTCTTCGCTTTCTTTCCAAGAATTCTTTGACATCACAATTATCTCGCTTGTATGCTTTTCTTCCTTTCATTCTGATTCTAATACTGCAATAAACTCTCTATCATCTCCGCCATTCTCTTTCTATCTCTCTCTATCTTTCAAGTATATCGCGCATATATATATATATATATATATATAATCAGAAACTATAAGTTTTTTCCATTATCAATATACTCGCTTACCTATAACGTCAAAAATGAAGGCATTTTAAATATAGTTTTACAATTTTGTATTTCACCCCTAGCAAGGCAATAAAGCCATTAAAACGTAAGGGGTTTTTATGAAGGCGCAAGAAAAAAGAAAAAGATTAAGGAGAGATTACAATAAAAAGAAGAATCAAGAAGATAGTAGATAACAACTGACATTGCACTTAAACTTTTGATGATCAAAGTCAGCTGGAAAGTAAGAATCCGGAAGAGAATTCCCCACGTGACAAGTGCAAGACAAGAAACTCAAAGAACGAACAAAGAAGCAAAGAACTTACGATTACACCTAACGAATTCAATCGTATCGTGATGAGACCTAACCGCCAATCTAGTACTGAACTTAAATTCATAAAGTCTACTTAATATTGAGAGAAGTTCATCAGAACAACTGCTATTAAAGTATTTATAGATAAGTCAAATGGATGCTAGATTACGACAGTGGGAAAGTGACTGAAGCCGAGATGCCTCTGGATCAATAACATTGCAAAATAGATCTGCTATAAATCAATAATACTGCAAATAAGTCTCGAAATAAATAACTGGCCCTAATATTCGAAGCATGGACGAATGTTAAACTTATAAATAACTAAGATGGAATCTGGAGAGAAAAAAACAACTTTCCTAACAACCTAGCAACTTTTACAATATAATCTTTTCACTTCATGTTAGCAAATAACGTTAGCCCGAGAAGGCGTAGCAAGTCTCTTTCCTAGCGGTTAGCATCAGCCATGCTCATGGAAGGTAGGAAGGTGTATCTCAGATGATTAATATGAGAAGTTTTGTTTTGGAAGCTTTAAAATTAACAAGCCATTCCTTGTCCCAGTTAACAGCAGATTTTAGGTCACTTTTAAGATCAGCTGCCAATTTGACCGTATCAGACCGATCAGACTTTGTATTGAGACGGGGATAAATAGCTGTGTCATCAGTATAGATATCGAGTTAATGAAAATTAGGAACAACGTAAGTCCAAGGATAGAACTCTGGGTGCACATTATTATTATTATTATTATTATTATTATTATAGTCTTTACACCTCCCTGCTTCTTAAACATTTACCAAGAGTCCACCATTGTCCTCCCAAACGCAGTACCACATCCAGAGTTCAAGGGACATAACTCTATTAAGATAAAATGTTACAAAAAGCTTACTGTTGTTCCCAGGCCAACCTTGACCCGGAGAGGTAGCCCCTATTATGGTCCCAGCTATGGGCAAATAATGAACCCTTAAACAAAACGCTATGAAAGTATAAAAATACATTTTTATAGTAAAAGTACCAGTAGTACATTTTATAGCAAAAATATGATATATGTTATTCTGCTTTCACAATTGAATACATGGTAGATGATACTCAGCTTTTGTGCATATGCATGTCTGTGTGGACATAATTACTATAGGTGGTGATATGTATGCCTTATGTTTTGTTGAAGCTATATTTTGGAATACAGTTTGATTTCTTTAAAAAATTGTAGGATATCATATGGATTAAAAAGTTCTTTCATATTGGTTGTTTGGTTGATTTTGTTGAGCGGCATATCAACCTCTATGAATTATTTAATGCCGAAATCTAAATACTTTGAACAATTTTATGGCTTCAGCTAAATATCTTGAACTTCAACTACAGATAAAATGTAAGCCTTCAACTACAGATAAAATGTATGCCTTCTACAGATAAAATGTATGCCTTCAACTAGAGATAAAAATGTATGCCTTCAACTGCAGGTAAAAATGTATGCCTTCAACTACAGATAAAAATGTATGCCTTCAACTGAAGATAAAAATATATGCCTTCAACTACAGATAAAATGGTATGCCTTCAACTCCAGATAAAAATGTATTCCAAAATACAATTTCAACAAAACTACAAATATATAATACATCTATAACCGCCTTTAGTAATCATGTCCACACAATCATGTATATGTACAACTTGCTAAGTATCATCTACCATTTATTCGATTGTGAAAGCAGAATAATATATATCATACTTTCACTACTTCAAAACTCCAAAGAAAATTAAATTTCGGTATTAAATGTTTCATAAAGTTAAAAAGAAAATCAACTCAAATGTTCTATTCCGCCATTCAATTACCTCGCTATCGATGTTCACATCAGTCTCCGGCTTTTCTACCAAAAAATTATCTGGGAAATTGAGTTCCTGAGCCGTAGGGAAGACAATCAGTCTAGGCGAAGGAAAACTGTGAAACCCCTTCCTTCTCTCTTGTAGGTTTTCTTTGGCTTGAGAAAAACAACAGGAGAAGCAATTCTAACGTAACACTCTCTAATATGATTAAGCATCGCCTTATCTCTGGATTTCTTGATTTTGTTTAGGAGTGTTTTTGCCGTGTTGTGCACGTTGTATAAGCCATATGGCTGAAAGAGTCGACAGATATCATGTATGTTTATTGGGGGCTGTGGTATACGAAAATATACTGAAATTATCTTGGTCTTACAATGAAAGAATTCTCTGCGAAAAATTCAAATGTTTTATCAGATTTTTTGATTATGTTGAATATTTTTCAGCGCATAGTCGCTTAAATACTAGAAACCATTTTTCATGTTATTTCTCCCCCCCCTCTCTCTCTCTCTCTGTCTTTCTTTCTTTCTTTCCCGCTTCACTTCTCTCTTTTCTTCGCTTTCTCTTTCTTTCTCATTCTTTCATAGCCCCATTTTTCTTTTTCCTTCCTTTTTTCACTCCATTTTTCTCTCCTCTCTTCTTCCCTCTTCACTATTTCTCTCCTCTCTCCTTGCCTTTTCCCTATTTCTCTCCTCTCTCCTTGCCTTTTCACTATTTCTCTCCTCTCTCCTTGCCTTTTCACTATTTCTCTCCTCTCTCCTTGCCTTTTCACTATTTCTCTCCTCTCTCCTTGCCTTTTCACTATTTCTCTCCTTCCCTCTTCTTTATTTCTCTCTTCTCTCCTCTCTTCTTTATTTCTCTCTTCTCTCTTTCCCTCTTCTTTATTTCTCTCCTTCCCTCTTCTTTATTTCCCTCTTCTCTATTTCCCTCCTTCCCTCTTCTCTATTTCTCTCCTCGTTCCTATCCTTCCCTTTTCCCTCCTCTCCTTCCCTTTTTGCTCCTTCTCTTCTTCTCTCTTCACTCCTTCTCTTCCTCTCTCTTCGTCCCTTCTCTTCACTCTTCGGTATTTCTCTCGCCTCTTCTTCCTTTTTCGCCCCTTCTCTTCTCTCCCATTTCCCTTTTTGCTCCTTTTTTCTCTCTCCTTCCATCTTCACTCCTTCTCTTGTCTCTTTCTCCTTCACTCTTCACTCCTTCTTTTATCCCTCCTTTTCTCTTCACTCCTTTTGTTCCTCCTTTTCCCTCCACTCCTTCTCATGTCCTTCCTTTTCCCTCCACTCCTTCTCTTATCCTTCCTTTTCCCTACACTCCTTCTCTTATCCTTCCTTTTCCCTCCACTCCTTCTCTTGTCCACACTTTTCTCTTCACTCTTTCTCTTGTCCCTCCTTTTCTCTTCACTCCTTCTTTTATTCCTCCTTTTCTCTTCACTCCTCTTGTTCCTCCCTTTCCCTCCACTCCTTCTCTTGTCCTTCATTTTCCCTCCACTCCTTCTCTTGTCCTTCCTTTTCCCACCACTCCTTCTCTTATCCCCACCTTTTCTCTTCACTTTTTCTCTTGTCCCTCCTTTTCTCTTCACACCTTCTCTTGTTCCCTCTTCACTACTTTTCTTATCTCTCACTCATTCTCTTCTCTGTCACACACACTCTCTCTCTCTCTCTCTCTATATATATATATATATATATATATATATATATATATATATTCTGGTCATTTTCCCCCTCTTGAAATATTTACATCACTTCATTTTATTTCCCTATTTTGTAGATAATTCTTTGTTCTATTCTGTAACACTCCCCACCATCTTTCTTTTGTATTCCTAAGCTACACTCCATCTTCTCTAATTTCTCATTTCTCTTTCTTTCTCATTATTTTGGTACTTCTTTTCCTGTTTTCATTTCTTCTTCTTCGTCCTTCTTTCTTTCTTTATTTATTTATTGGTCTTTCTCTGTTCCTCTCCTTCTCTACCTTTTTACTTTTGGACGTGAATTAACGATTCACGTTCAAAAGTGTTACCAATAATCCAGCAGTGTTGGATTTGTTGTTCTAATAACGTAATTTCGGCCATCTTGTCACACAAAATATTCATATAGCGTAGGAAATTTACTGAGAATTCCATAGACTGAACATGTGAGCAACTTGGTAGTTTTAAAGAAAATGGCAATTAAAAAAAAAACGCTTACACTGAAAATCCGAAAGAAACAGTCGACATTTCTGGGACGCACAATGAGGAAAGTAGGTTTGGAGAATTTAACACAGAACATACTGAAGGCAGAGGGAAACAGCGATTAATTTACCTAATTTGTACGAGTGGGTGAGTCAAAAGTTGCTTAGTTAAAAAGGATCAGAAGTTGTGGAGAGCCATGATCGTTCACGTTTTGAATGGATACGACAGTTAAAATAAGTAAATTTCATCTTTTTTTATATTCGTGTTCACCCATTTCAAGACCAAACAGCCGCTCAATGTAGATGGTTACTGAATGACGTGTGGGGTATGAACGTAAGAGAAAGTAGGAAGTGACTTCAAGAGGTTAAGATTGTAGTGTTTGCAAAGGCACCAAATTGGGTTTCTTTTTGAGTGGAACACCTTTCTTACAAATGGAATGCATAAAGAAACGTGGTTGAACATAGGGACGTCGCTAAGCGAGTCTTAGATGTAAAGACCCAAACTGATGGCAATAAAGAATGAAGACCTGTCTATATTTCTGATATGAGGTATTATGTACACTATTTACATTATTTACACTGTGCCATGTGTCGACACATGGCACAGTAGATAAAGGCGTTAGTTAGATCCAGTGACAGGACCCAAAGAGTGTGAGTTCAATAGCTGGTTAAGGTAGTGGAGAATTTCTCAGAGGGAAATTAACAGGAGATAACTGACATCCATTAAACATGGCACGTGGAACTAGAACAGTCTACCCAGTGAGTGAAATAAAGGGTTCAGTTCGACATTCCAACCACCTGAAGAAAGTCGATGCGTACAACGGCCGAAACGTTGTGATAAACATAGCGACAAAAATGAGCACAATAGTCCGAATAATGTAATTAGTGTAAAGAATGAAGATAGTTTGAATACATTTACTATGGAAGCAGTGAATGCTTCCGCCTTGGCCTGACTAGGTTTTCTAAATCTTTTTCTTCTGTCTCTGATGTCATCTTCCAACTTTTCATAATCTTACGTATACAGTATGCTAATATTTTTTTCTCTTTTTTTTTTTTTTTTTTAGGAGTAAATAGGTTCGACTATCGTTCGGTTCATACTCCTCCCCAGTCTTTTGAACAGGAGTAGGGGTGTATCCCTTGGTTCCAGTTTAGGGTTATGTTTCCGGTTTCTTGTAAATTCTACTTCAACTGCATACTTCTAACTTCGCCTAAAAACCCTGAAATTTTATTTACTATATACTTTTTTCTTTCTTTCCTCAGTAAGAGTTGATACGTTCGCCTATCGTCTAGTCCACACTTCTTCCCGGTCCTTTGAACAAGAGTAGAGGTCTAGGAGTAGAGGTTTCCTGTCTAGGTGGTCCTTGTGTTTTGCTGTCATTTTCACCATGCTTGGGGAGGTGCCGCTTACTATGTAACCTTCTACTTCGAGTGGCTCTTGGGCCTTGTACAGGGTGAACATCACTGTAAAAAAATACTCCTTCACATTCTTTAAATCTTCCTCCCCCTCTCTCTCTCTCTCTCTCTTCTTATTGTTTTACCTTTATATCATCTCTGCCTCTTACCGTCATTTTGTTATTGCTTGACTTTTCAATTTCCTCTCCCTTCTATTATTTCCTTATTGCTTTTGTCATAACTGCAGATCTTCCGACTACTCTCCCTTTTTGCTCAACAATATATCTACTCTCTCACTCTTTCTCTCACTCACTTTCACTCCATGTTTATATTTTACCATTACTTTTCTTCTTCCTCTTACTCGTTACTCCCTCTCGTTATTGTTATATAATTCCTCTTATATATCCTCTTACTGCTACTGTCTCTCTCTTGTTATAGCTTTGTCATTGCTGTTGCTTTTCCGCCTACTCTCTTTGTTGCTCAATATATCTTGTCTCTGTCACTATCTCTTCATACATTACTATTACTTTTCTTCTTCTTCTTCTTCTTCTTCTTCTTCTTCTTGCTGCTGCTGTATTATATTTCTTTGGTCTTTCAGTTCTCCAATCTATGATCCCTCTTGGCTTACGGCTACATAACGTTGAAACATCGGTTACAACACGATTACCGAAGTTAAGCAACGTCGAGTCTGGTCTGTATCTAGATGGGTGGCTGCTTGGGAATACCAGGTGCTGTAATCTTGGATGTGCCAATAGTGTAATAATGGCACGGAATTGTTACTCGGAAAAGCGAGTTCCAATTCCAGTTGGGTTCATTACATTTACTCATGCGCAAATACTATCTTCTCTCTCTTCCTCCCCCTCTCTCTCTATACACACACACGCATATATATATATATTCTCTCTCTCTCTCTCTCTCTCTCTATATATATATATATATATATATATATATATCTTCTCTCTTATATATATTCTCTATATATATCTTCTCTCTTCCTATTTATATATTCTCTCCCTCTCTATTTTCTTATATATATATATATATATATATATTCTCCCTATTTTCTTTATCTATGATTTCTCTCTATCTTCCCTATTTCCACTCTCTATTGTCTCTCCCTTCTCTCTCGGTATCTTCTCTCTGTCTGCTCTCTCTATATATATATAATTATCTATATCTCTCTATGCACTTATTTCTGTTTGACTTCTCCTTCTCATCATTACACCTTTACTTCCTCCTCCTCCTTCACCGATGTCCTTCCTCTCAGAAAAGTAGACAGTATCCTATTTGCTCCGCTTCTTCTCTAATTTCGTCCAGCGCACTTGCTAATCACAGATCATTTCGATAGAAAAGTTTAGTTATAACCCCTCCCCCATAAAAGCGATGAGACGACAATTGGGCTTTCACACCCAATCGCCGACCAATGATCGGGAAAATTGATTTTTTTTCTTTCGTACGACAAAAATGCCAGGGGACTCTCAGAAAATAATTAGTATCGATGCCAAATCCATTTTTGCGGTGCCACGGATCAAGCAAAAAGATTATACGAAAAGGGGACACTTCTTACCGCTAATATCAGCTCACCCTCTACAAGGTGTACCCAAAACAATAGTTGTCATTTACAGGTTTCCCATAGTTGAAAAACGACATTTTTAAACCTTTTATTAATGCATCAGTAAACTAGGAGGGTGGCTTATATTTGCAAGAAATTAATAGCTCTTACTTGTTTTCATCATATCTTTATATATATATATATATATATATATATATATATATATATATATAATCGGTTCAGATTGAGGAATCAGAGGTTGAGTTCGAAATCCAGTCGAATCCGCTACATTCACTTACGTGCTAATACTCTTGAGAAAGGTATTAATCCTCTTCTTCTCCCTCCAGCTATGGGTAAATAGCAGGATAGACTGGGTTCTATAGTCTTGGATAGCAACTGGTCTAAGAGAAGGACAACTCTGAATTGAAAACCTACGGGGGGGTCGTTTGGGGACCTTGTGACAGGTAGTATATCAGGTCTCTGTATTTGTCCCTTCAAAGTGTGTGGTTGGTCCTGCACAAAGCCTTCACCACTATAACCAAATCATATATGCTGGTGTCTGGCTGTCCGTTCCTAAAAACTGAGCTGCTTGACTCTCATACGTTGAATACGACAGGAGTCTCTACCATATATATATATATATATATATATATATATATAATTTTCATTATTATAAAGTGGATATAATGCCCGTAAAAGTGACTGGATTTTCAGCAAACTTGAACCTTCAAAAGGGCGGTTTTTCCATTGGCAACGCTATTATTTTAAATACGTTTACTCCCCAGCAATTTTTATTGTCTTAAAAGAGATGATTAAAACTGTAATAAAACCTTCACGTATGATGAAATTATAAATTATATATTTTCTTTGTTCTTAAGAATTAGCAACATAAATAAACACTATTATTTATTTGAGTGTTTATTTGCACTATTATTGATTATAGAGTGGTTGGCGAAACATCGGCTAATTTCTATTTAATTCGAACTTTATAAAATGGTAAATAATAACGATTTCCTTACAGTTGGTTCACATTTTAGTAGATGTTTATAAATTTAAGAATAAAAATTGTTTTCATATTTATTTCTTTATCAATTGATAAATGATAAATATTGCTTTGGATTATTCTTAATACAACTGAATTAGTTTTTAGAATATTGTAAATAGGAAATTATTCTTGTAAATCAGTCATTTATGTGCCATGAGTGATACACGCTTAGGCGATCACTTATCTTTCGATACATAACTGACTTTGATACATAACTTTTCTCGCAGTCTACTGACATTTCTTTCTGCGGTAGACCCCTTGCCATCCAAGGCTATAGAACCCAGTCTGTCCTTCTATTTACCCATAGCTGGGGGAGAAGAAGAGGATTAATGCCTTTCTCAAGAGTATTAGTTCGTAAGTGAAGGTAATGGATTCGACTAGAATTCGAACTCGGCTCTCCGATTCCTCAATCCGAGCAGCTATCCATTACTCCACCTAAACAATCTAATAAAGATGGTGCATCAGTAATGTTAGGGCAAATTAAGGAGTTGCGAAACTATTTCATGATAATTTTCTTAATGTAATTATCTGGCCCTCTACTACAGGGTACCCAGTAAAAGAAGCAGTAAATTTATTCTTCGCGAAAATACACCAGCTCTAATTGGTCCATATCATTAGCCCTCGAAAACCCTAGATCTCAATGTTATGGATGACTGTATCTGGAATATATACTTGCAAAACCGTCGTCATGCAATCGTCGATATTGATTCATTGAAGTGGAACTTAACTGAAGCTTGAAATAAAATTCCTCTTGACACTATCTGCAAAGCTATTGCCTCCTGGTTACCACACTTACAACTTTATGTTGAACATTCAGACAAAGATTTCGAACATCTACGATGATTGTTCTGTTTGTGCATGAATCATGATAGCCAAATAAAATTCTTTCTGAATTTACCGTTAGTTTATTGGGCAACCTGTATTTACAGGTTTGAAGTTAGCGTAATTGATTCTATAAGAAGTTTCAGATTTGAATTACTTTAGGATATTTGGTGATGAACTCTATTCATTATATCATTGATCTCCTCAGCGTCTGATTGGGTTAAATGCATGAAGTTCTTCCTTGTCAACTGGTAGCAACTTGTTGCGCCTTCAGTCTCGGATAGTTTCGTCTTAACGTACGATAAAAGCAAAATGTTCGTATAAAACATTTTGGAAAATGAAAACTGCATTACTTCAATAACTCGCTCAGTGAGAGTCAAACACAAGGTGCTGAATAATGAAATATTAAAATCAACGCCTTTTCCTCTTCTATGTACTGTCTCCTTTCAGAAGTGCGATCATAGCTCTCCACCATCTATACTTGTAGCTCTTAAACATGTCTTTTTGCCATGCCTCGCAAGCCCTGTTAAACCATTCATTCACACTACGTTGTTTAGGTAGGTGACCCGTTTGCTTTCATTATGTCTTGTGGGTGTCATATTCACCAAACCTTCGTTCCTCATTATGTGTCCTAGAAATTTAAGCTGTCTCTTTCTGATTCTACGTATGGGTCATATTTGTTTCCATGTTCCTTAAGACTTCTTCATTGCTTACACGTCCCGTCCATGGTTTTCTCAGTGTCCTTCTGTATAACAGCAGTTCTTGTTTTCTTCACCTATGAGAAAATTCTCCAGAATTCTCTACCATATATGAGTTTTGGAATTTAGTTAATAATTGCATAAGTAATAATGGCATTGGTAAATATGGCACAAGTGAAAAAAAAATTCTTCAACTATACACTGTTGGCAAAAAGTTGGTTTTGAATTAAATCTAAATACATGTCAGATATAAACTTTTATTTATTTAATTTTTAATAGTAGCATAAAAGTAGAATTGTTTAACATTGCATTTGTTCATATAAATTCATACGTTTAAAATTTATGAAAAACAATTATAATAAAATCAAATATGTTTAGACATGAGCACACGATTTTATATCAACATTTAAAAACAGGATTTAATAACTAGAATCTTATGTCGTGACTAAGTCATTTTTACCCGAGCCATTATTACCGGTCACCAAGGATTTTTATTTTACATAGAAATTTGGCACTATTTTAGTTATTTCAGACCCAAAACTTTTCGTCTAAAAACCCCCAACTTCTACATGAGATATACGGCATATATCCATAATGTATTCCAAAACTATTGATTTTGTTTCCACCATGGAAGATTCGAAACAATGGCTTTGCGTGGTGACACATATTTTTAGCTGAATCATTTGCTGTACGAGCGAACGTTCTTACAAGATGCGCAACGATCCCGCCTCGTCTATTGCGTGATCCTCAGGTCTTCAACATGGCTTCTGCATTAACAATTTCCCAGTGTAAACCCGTCTCGTTCGTTTCGTGACAAGGCAGTTTGAACTTAATTAACAACTTCGTGTTTCTGATGACGTTCGGTTCCATGGTTAAAAGTTTTGAGATCCGAAACAAATTTACTGCTTTTTCAGGATTTTTATTATTTCGCCGCTGAGAAATACGAAAACATTGATTTGAACCTAAATGAATAGAAAAAAATATATCTTTTTTTAAGGTATATCCTATTCATTCGTTTGATCTTCAGTTGGTACTTCAAGAATGTGATCTTTTCTGGAAACATAAAACGGCGTTTACGAATCATGTAGTAGACGGAATTGTTCATAGAATATTAAGTGCAGAGATTAGAAGTTAATCGAAATACAATTTCAGCTAAAAACATAGAGAAAGAGAAAGTGAAACTAAAATAAAACTAAACTCAGTTATTTTAGCTAATAAATCATATAATTAGCTAATCTTAATTTCTTCACTGTGTACATAATTCTGAAAACTGCAAATGATTATATATATATATATATATATATATAGTGTTGAAAATTAGATGTATGCATGAGGGGCGTTCTTTCAATTTCTAGCTTATGTACAGTTTATCCTCTTAGGGGTCAAAAAGGTTTATTAGTCATACTTTCAGCTTCTAGCCATTAAAATTAACTTGTTTATTTGTAATTATTATCTTAATAGAGATTAAAATGTGCTATATCTACGGATTCCTCTCCGTTCAGTTGTGTGCCATGCGTGATA